TTTTCTCCCTCTCTGTCCAGGACGTCCTATTGTGGGCCCTTTCAGAGCCATCAGCAGTGGGACTTGGGCACCATCTAGTTCTTCTGGTCTCAGGTAATGGAAGCTGGGCTTTACGTGGTCCTTTAGTCAAGATTCCTTGAATCTTGGATTGTCTTCACTCCTCTTTGCTCCAAACTGTCATTGAATTCTAGAAGTACAATCCCTGTATGGTGAAGGTTTGGGGGTGTATGTTTTTACCACTGAAAAATAGACAGCACAGCAGAAGGGCATCCCAGAAAGAAAGACCTGCCTGTGCAAAGGTCCTGAGGCAGGAAAATCTTTGAAGGGAGACTGGTGTGGCTGCAGCCCAGGAGAAGGGGAGCGGGAGCGTGGCCCCAGGAGCCCAGGGAGGAGGGCAGGCTGTGGGTCTGGCCTCTTACTGATGGAGAACAATGTGGTAACTCACCGGAGAGTCTGAAGTTTGCATGTGGGGTGGCTGAGCCCCACACACAGCAGCTGCACCCCGGGGTCCCCCAGGTCATTGAGGCTCAAGTCCAGCTCTCTCAGGCTCTGATTGACACTGAGAGTGGAGGCCAGGTCTTCACAGGCCGCAGCAGTGAGCTGGCAAATCTTCAACCTGCACAGAATCCAATGCAACACATATTATGGGGGTGTTTTCTCCATGGTACTTGTCGGGGGCTGACTTGTGTCCTCCAGAAATAAGTGTCAACTTGGCTGGGCCATGATTCTCGGTGGTTTGGCAGTTGTGCCATGATTTTATTTGGTAGTTAGGTCATGATGTGATCAGCACCATGATGGGATCTGATGTGACCAGCCAATCTGTTCTAAAGGGATTAGGTGGGGCGCAACACCCTCCCTCTAGTCCTAGCCTGATCTAATGTTAGCGGAGTTCCTTGGGGTGTGGCCTGCATCATTTTTTTATCCTACAAGAGATGAAAGGAGAGATAAGTGAGCATAGAGAGAGGGACCTCAGTGCCAGGAAGAAAGACCAGGAAGAAGGACAAGGAGTGGAGTGCACCCTGTTAATGAGGGTCCCTGCGCTGT